AGCAGGCGGGTGCACTTGCAAACGAATTGAAATATTTAATCTGACCGACCGGCTGGACTGCTAAGACGAAACTTTGATTTCACCAGATCGAACCCCTGCAGAAAATTCAAGCTGCATGGCCCAAATTTCATAGGTCGCTAATCTTACTTTGATGTGGCCGGGGGGGATTTTAATTTTTTCATCATCAGGGGAACAACTTGTGTTATTTTTATGGCAGACTCAGGGGAGGTGGAAATTGGATATTCTTTTTTAAATTGCAAAGACCTTGTCCGTTATTTTGTAAAAGAAGTTTAATGTTGCAGATCCAACAACTTCCAAAATATGAGCGGACATGTGCCTTACTTATTCATGAGGTCTCTGGTAAATATTCATTATACAATTACAGTTGAAAGTGGTGACAGCAAATGTAACGTCCAACATTGGTTTATTTGGTCTTCTCTAAAATGTGATATTCTGAATAGATCGACAACATACTTGCCAATTGGATTGTTTTTAAAGTATGCGGAATACTGTTTGAATCAAAGCAGCAGTATTCTCGTCTGTCTAACTCTCGATAGAGTGGCTGTTTTAGAGACCACTCAGTATTCCTTTAATTAAAACCTAATTTTATTGATCCATTTGGCCTACCCCAAAATTTGATGTCCTTAATAGATCGATGCAATACTTATTATAAATCATAGGATTTTTTTCAATAATAGTAAAGTATACTTTGTTATAAAGGAGCAGCATTGCCGATGGTCTTCTTTTTTTATATATAGTGCAGTTGTCGTTCAGACTCTCATTACTCCTTCAATTAACTCGTAATTTTTATTGATTTTGTTTTTAGTGTTACGCTCCCACAAAGTGTTCCCCTATATGCATGTAGGTTATTGTACTCGCACACGTGTTAATTCGAGTTACAGAGGAAACTTGTACATTTACAAAACTTTTGCAGGGTTCTGTTGTTACACGAAAAAGTCACTGTTCATTCACGAAGTGCGTCCGTTACAAAGATTCCCTGTTAGTAATTTCCGACACATTTTACGGAAAACGCATTGTAGCACAACCCTTTTTTAACATAACAGTGCACACACACCACTTACCCCACAGCGAGCGCGCAGTGACCATCTACACGTAGATTACACGCATTGTACACACCCCGTTGCTCTATGCTGCCCTTGAACCACAACTCTGAAGCACACTTCCAACTTTGTCATTTTCCCCCAAATCTTCTTCGGAGTCCATCCTACTTTCAGTCGCACATATAACCCGTACATTCGACCCACACAGACCCCCAACTTATACCGTATGTGTCCCGCCAAACCACACACCGAAAGCCTGTGTCCGGTCCCGGCACAGCGAGGTCCATTACCTCCGCTCACCCTCAGTTTTACCCCGTAAGAACGTGTAAATTTCCCAGCCATCCAGAGATTAAGTGTTGTACACAACCCAATGTACCCAGAAAGGCTCCCCCTTTCCTTTCCCTGGTTGACCACGTCCCCCGTAGCTCACCCACAAAAAGCCTTTCACCCTCCCGCTCCCAAACTTCTCGGACCTTATCGCTCTCCAGTAACTGTTAGCGAAGACCAAGTGTGTACAAAATCCCCATAGACTTTTCTTCAATAGACTTTCTACATTATGAATTATTCATAACCACCCCAATCCAGTGCTCCCATTGGCTAAGACGCGGCCCCAAAAGTCTATAAAAAGCGACCAGCAAAATTGATCATTCCCGAGCGGGCAGGTTTGGAGAAACAGCTCCCTGACCGTTCGTGAGTGTATAGCTCCGATATGAACAACCTTTCTATCACTCCCGAATAAATAGCTCAGTTTTGGACTAGCAGTACTTGAGTAAAATCCAGCCTTACTAGTAGCAGTTGCTCATTGTAAATATGGAGAAGAGGTAAATAATTCTTTGGAATAAAACAGTAGTAGGTGGGTGTCACAAGCCCGGGTCCCCCTACCCTCTGACACGCAATGTGTGCACGGTAAATTATGCAGTACACTCAAGCAGATAATTTAACTTCAAAATTCAATGAAAACTATTTATTTACAAATATACAAACCACAAAAACAATTGAATGAAGGGGGAGCAAAATGCAGAAGATCAACAGTTTAAAAACAAAATGGGTTTCATAGAAACTAGAAGGCTGGTGGGCTGGTTAATAGTGTGGCGAATGCAACTGACACCTC